TCTATCTATTGCAACTTCTGAAAAAATTGTATGAAATAAAGATTCTCTCTCCATAGCACTGTTCTACAAATATATCCCGATCAAAAACCTCTAATAATTTTATAAATGTAATGATTTTCCAGAAGCCTTAGTGATTGAAAGTTCATAATACTAATAAAATGCCAATAAAACATGCTGTTTTTAAACTGCTACTCCTCCTCTGTTTTCAAAGATATAGACACCAAATTAGTGTGCAAGATAGTATATGTAATATAGATTAGAGATATGGAAAGATTTAATGGATCAAAAATACCAGTGATGTAAAAAAACTCATTCGAAATACAAAAAATTTCTTTCTTTATTGTTATACTTCTATCTATTGCAACTTCTGAAAAAATTGCATGAAATAAAGATTCTCTCTCCATAGCACTGTTCTACAAATGTATCCTGATAAAAAACCTCTAATAATTTTATAAATGTAACGATTTTCCAGAAGCCTTAGCAATTGAAAGTTCATAATACTAATACCAGTCGTGTGACATGTCCTTTCAAATTATTTTCTATATTAAATAAAAAATTTCTAATTCGTGTAACTGACCGTTTTTTAAAAATAACACATTATTTTTATAACGAATTCGAATTTCATTATTAAAGTAAAACGAAATTGCTACATTAAAGCTTTCTAATGAATACTTATTCATATTGAAATGTCTTCTCTATGTGAATCCACGGCTATTCAAAAATGGTGTCACTTTTTCACTTCAAAGCTCAGATTATTTTTCAATATCGCTTTAAAAGACCTGATAGTGACTAAAGAGGTATAGAATACTCTAAGCTTTAATATGGTCATTACTTTATGGGGGGTGTTGGTTAATAAGTTTTAGAGAGGTTCGCGAAAAACTATTTTGTAGAAATTTAATAGTCATGTCAAGAATTTTATGCAGATTGGATTCAGCAAAAGTTTTTTAAAAGAAAGAACTGAGTTTACAACCTATTATTTATGTAGTAAAGTGATAGATATTATAGGAAAAAAATATGTAACTATATTATAAAATTATTATTTGTTTATATTGATATACTTATTTATCTAGGAGAGATATTAATATTAAAAATCTCAATTCATCTAGGAGGGAATGCTTCCAAGGTTAATGGTTAAACAAAATCAAATTAGAAAGGATGTTATGCGACCATATTTAGTGGTATGATCAGAAAGAATTGCATGACCATATTTTTATTTGTTATTAATAATCCTGTAATAACAATTATACTATTAATTATTAGATTACTTTGGTGGTGTATGATCAGAAAGAATTGTTATATGACAATCAAATTAGTTATTATTATAAATTAAAAGGTATTTATTATTGATGGTTGTTTTGTTCATTTATATTTAATCAAATATTTATCAACAGTTAAACAATGGGTTATTGTTATGCAATACTTGGTTAAAATCATAATTCAGAAAGGTACACTAATTGTTATGCAACTATTAAAATATTATTATTATCTTCATTACAATTAATAGTATAAGTAACAACATCAAAAATTATTAATTATTTTTTAGATCTGGTGGAAAGAATTGTTACATGAAAATCAATTAGTATTAGTTATTGTTATAAATTAAAAGGTATTTATTTATTCATGGTTGTTTTATCTATGTATCAAATATTTATCAACAGTTAAACAATGGGTTGTTATATGACCATCAAGACATCCATTGTTATGCAACTATTAAATATTATTATTATTTTTATTACAATTAATGGTATAAGTAATAATATATTACTAATCAATGGTATTAGCAGAATCTGGTGATTAATCATAAGCAAAAAAAAATTCAAATAATCACAAATTTTTTATTTGTCATTTTATTTGATTTTTACAATTTACAAATCTAATATTAATATTAATATCTATTTAAATTTATTAGTGAAAATGAAAATGAAGATGCAACAAATTTAATTATAATTCATGATAATGTGATTGAAATAAAATTAATTATAATTCATGGTAACGCGATTGCAACAAATTTAATTATAATTCATGTGATTGCAACAAATATAATTATAATTCATGATAACGCGATTAAAATAATAATTCGTGGTAACGCGATTGAAATAATAATTCGTGGTAATGTGGTTGCAACAAATTTAATCATAATTCATGGTAACGCGATAGCAACAAATTTAATATTAATTAATTATAATTCATGGTAATTTGCATGAAATTGTAATAAATTTTATTAATTATTAATTTTTTTGGGTGTCATTAATAATAATAATAATAAATCATATAAATAAATTATATTAATATATACAAAATGTTTTAATTGTTAATATCATCAAATTTATTAAATAATTTCATATTTACTATATCCATATTAAATTCATTTTACAACAAAATCATAATTAATTTGCTGTAATCATGTTACAATGTGATGGTATATATAATGAATTTTAGATGCAATTTTCTTATAGATTTGTTGAAATAAGGTTTGACTGTATATAGTATTAATCCAATACTTTAATTCATGAATTGAGATTAGTTAGCCTTTGACATTTTAATTGTTAATATAAATATCATCAAATTTATTATTAAATAATTTCATATTTACTATATCCATAATGAATTTTAGATGCAATTTTCTTATAGATTTGTTGAAACAAGGTTTGACTGTATATAGTATTAATCCAATACCTTAATTCATGAATTGATATTAATTAGCCTTTGACATTTTAATTGTTAATATAAATATCATCAAATTTATTATAATTAATTTGCTGTAATCATGTTACAACGCAATGGTATATATAATGAATTTTAGATGCAATTTTCTTATAGATTTGTTGAAACAAGGTTTGACTGTGTATAGTATTAATCCAATACTTTAATTCATGAATTGAGATTAGTTAGCCTTTGACATTTTAATTGTTAATATAAATAT